CACAAGGAGAGAAGGGTGATAAAGGTTTGCGAGGGACATACAAGTGTGAAGAGGTCGATGATGATTTTGAAGAGAACGATCCACAAACCCCCAAGTGGTTCAGGGGGGTGGCTATGGATAGGTTGGGCAGGTGTGTGGCATTCCTCCCCTTGGTGGAATTGGTGGGATTGGTGGGATCGCAGGTGGTTCAGGCTCAGGTCTTCCCTTGGACGATATTTCCTACTAATTACCAGACCTGTATATATATAAAGACTGTTTCTTACCGGAAGGACTTTTAATAACCGTTTCTGGTTCTGATGTTTTAACATACCTTGGAAGGAGTGCTAGTACAATGCATTAATTACCCGAGAATTTAATCATAAACAACAACAATACCTCTGTGAATATTCCCTGGCTCGTTGCCTCTGTTTCATTTGGTCGTATTTATTCGTGGCAAATTAATGGTGGAAGAAGCTCTCCGACTCAGACTTCAACAATTGTTATGGGTGCAATTGCCTGCTACCTGTACAGGATAATGAGAACAATAAGCGGACTTCAAACTATAACAATCGGGAGCTTTTTGACTTAAAAATGAAATTGTTAATAATTTGTTAATTGTTAATTTAAATGGTTGATAAATAATAATAAAAGATTAAATAAGATGTGTCAAATTAAGAATGATGTCAAGAAGGTTGAAATCAAATGTAATCGTTGTGAGAAATTGAAGAATGAGTATGGTTTTGAAATAAGAGATAATGGGAATAGATATAAAACTTGTGGGATTTGTAGAAAAAGGGATAGCTGTGTTCATAATCGTATTATATATATTTGCGTAAAATGTAAAGGGAGTTCTATATGTGAGCATAATCGCCGTAAAGATGATTGTAAAGTTTGTTTTGGTTCAAGCATCTGCGAACATATTAAAGGAAAATTTAGATATAAAGATTGTTCGAATCCCGTAAAAAATATTTCAACAAATAATAAAAAGTCCAAGATATAAAGACAAAAAGAGAGGTTTTTCAACAAAGAAAATTCCATCGATTACAGTTGGTTGAAATCTACTTCGGAACTTCAAAACGGGGAATGTTTCTGCTGTAAAATCCAAATGGAATATAATCCAATTCGTAAAAATAATTTACTAACAAGCGAGAGAAAAAAATAATCAAATAAATCATATTAAATCCAATTGTGTCCTTGCTTGTTTCAATTGCAATATTCAAAGACAAGACCGCTACTCTCACGAAGAATTCATTAGTATCAAAAATCTAATGTAATATTCAAAATATTCAAATATTAAATTAATTAATTTTCAATCCCTAAAAATCCTCAAAAAAAACGGCCTTAATTGAACTAGTTCTGTTTTTCATTGTTGGATAACCAAGTTCAATATTGACATTCTTGACGACATGTAATTTATTTCTACTATCAAAGTAAAACTGACGTCGTTTCCCAGCATATCGAGTAAGGTTGCTTCGAGAACTTACATTTGCCGCGAATTCTTTTGCGAAGTTCTTCTTACTTTCTTTTATCAACCTATCTTCATTTTTAGAAAATCGTCTGATGCACAGACTCGGTCTTTTGCTCTCTTTCATTTCAAATTTTTCTTGACTACTTGTACCAAATAATATTTAATTTATTTTAAATTTAATCAATTTTGTGATATTCCCACACTTTCTTCTTGTTATCAAGAGCCAAAGCATATGTAATAAATTCGTCAATCGTCCCCGATAATCGATAATGTAAGTTTCGGTCTATCAAGGCGATATTAACGCCTTAGAGTAAAATAAACGCTTAAGTTAAGTCTAAATATATTAAAGTTCAATAATAGAGTCTTTTAGTAAAGTTAGGTATGCCTCGTGAAAACAGCAATACTCTGAGGGATTGTGAGGCTGAGACATTGCCTATATATAATCCTCTCAGTACTGTTTTCGCCGAAGAGATTTTACTTAGTGTTTCGTCGTCGCTTTATTAGAAACTATGGTATGTTTCGTTGGGGCGAGTCCGAGAGACTCATAAAATCCTATCTTTAGAAAGAAAAAGAAGAAAAAAATTCTTTTGATGTCCATAGTAATTGTATTAACCAATAAATTGCCACTTATCAATAATTACCGACTAGCCTTCATCAGACTGGCACATCTGGTTGGCTGAACGGAGGATAAACTAAGCTACGCTAATAGTCCTCAGAAGCCTAAGTTCGGTGGAGCCATCTCGCTACCGAAGTATTCAGATAATTCAGCCGAGAGAAGCGGAACCATCTCTTTGAACCAGCGAGCTTCAGGAGCATAAGGACACACCAACGTTGCAGTCGCCTTATCTCTCCTGATTCTAGCTATTACCCTGCCCAGATCAGACCACATCGGATTGAAGTACCACCTTGTACCCATCCAGGTCCGCAACGCAAACACCTCTCCTACCAGTGTGGACTGATAGAAGGGCTTCATCCGATAGTTTGTCGGATGAGCAAAGCCTTCCGCATCAAACGGACCAAACTTGTCGCATACCTTGTTGAACCAAGTCTTTCCCAGTGCGTAAGATTCAGTCCTGGGCTTCACCACTACCGGATCGCTCCAGTGAACCCGATCTTCTACCGGTGCACCCCGCGCCTGCATAATGGGGTCAATGTGGTACCCTAAGCGTGACTGCACGTCAGCTACCGGTTTCAGCTCACCAGGTATATGCTTCAGTACTATATCAAAGTCCCTTAGTACCTGAGCATACCGAGCCATCCTCCTTCCTCGCACCGAGGAGTCATAAGACAGCGGATCTTTCGTCAGCATAGTAACCAACGGCTCATGATCCGTGAATATCGTGAGCGGATGCTGCGATCTCTTGACAATGCGCCAAGACTTGTGCAGACAGTACACAATAGCCAAGGCCTCCTTATCCGTAATGTGGTATCCTAACTGGGCTGGGCTGAACTTTGAAGACCAAAAGCCTACCGGGCACAACTTCTTGTCTCGTCGAGCAAACAACCCCCCACCCACTCCTACAGAGTCACACGCGTCACAGTACAATTTTAACTTATCCTCGAACCCATGTTCGACCAGAATCCCCCTCTTGGCCACCTCAGCGCGGATGCGATCATATGCTTCCTGATGGATCGGTCCCCACTTAACAAGGACATCCTTCTTGCTAAGGTCCGAGATGGGGGCCATGATCCGGGAATAATCAGGAATGTATTGGCTCCAATAGCCAATCGTGTGGTACCATGAGGCGAGTAAATCCTTGTCCGTGGGTGGGGGCATACGCAAGATGGCCTCCATCCTATCCTCGCTAATAGCAGAACCGTTTTCGTCAACAAGTCGACCCAACGCTAGCACCGGGCGGTCAGAGAAATCGTGTGGTACCAGAAGGCAAGTAAATCCTTGTCCGTGGGTGGGGGCATACGCAAGATGGCCTCCATCCTATCCTCGCTAATAGCAGAACCGTTTTCATCAACAAGTCGACCCAACGCTAGCACCGGGCGGTCAGAGAAGCCAAAGCAGCACTTCTTCAATTTCAACTTGATGTTGTGCTTCTTACATGCCGCAATCAACGCCCTGATGCTCTTCCAATGCTTCATGGGATCATTGTCCCCAACGCCCATATCGTCAATGTATGTCTTGAGTCCGTCAACACTCTGGAAGGCGTACTCCATCCTTGGCTGCATAACCCAAGACGCCGGCTTGATGCCGAACGGCATGCCAACAAACGTGCGCTTGCCCCACGGGGTCCAAAACGTTAGTAGATACTGCGAGCCTTCCGCCACCTTGCTAAAAACCCTAAAACCCTGGCCAATATCTACCATGGTGCGGTACTTCTTGCCACGCACTGATGACAGAAACTCCTGCTCCGTAGGTACCGGGTGCTCTTCGCAGTCCAACAAGCCATTAAGCTTCTTGTAATTAATACAACACCGCCAGTCGTTAATCGACAAAGGAAAAAATCCAGGTCTCTTAAAGACCATGTGCGGCATTGCACAATAACCCTTGGAAACTGCCTCCGAGATTTCCCGTGTAATGCAATCTTGGTCCCAGTCCCCCACTTTACCACTAAGCACCGGGGTGAACGTGGGATCATTGTTGGGGTACACATGATAGGCTGGCTTCGAACCATCTTTCACCTTGAACTCGACACCGTCCCGAAAACGGATGTCGTCAAACACCATAAACGTGGAAGTGGCAGCATTATAGGCTACTGACTGTATATCCTTAATCATAGCTGTCAACTCTCTCTTAGGAAGTCCACACGCCTTGTGTAACTTCTTCAGTTGGGACTGGTCAAGCTCCAAGTGTGCCTGCGGATCCACCTCCTTAGCCGGAGATATCGTTGTCGCACCAATTAGCATGTCCACCTCAGCTAACAGGTCATTTAGACGAGGTAGAACGTACTCGTCGCCATCATTTAACTCAGCCGCATTAGCTAAGTAGTCCACCCGTTTCTTAATCTTCATGAAATGTGCTTGAACCGACGCAATATAATTCTTTCGTTCCTGCTCTTTGAACTGGTTCCTATGAATCACTCGTAATCCCAAATGGCGGCGTATAGTGTTCAACCGTAGATCCTGTGGAATCGTTGGACTCAGCTTACGACGCTTATGCCGTATCTCCGTCCTTCTAGCTTGTGCCCGCTTATCCGGCGGGCCACGCACGCCCGGCTGGTCCTCATCCGCTGCTTCTGATTCTAGAAATCAATCACCTGCGTTTGAGGCACCACCACCAGCCAGTCCTGCTTGGTCCACATGAGGGACAAGCGTTCCTTTCTCAAATCTTCAAATCCTAACAAAACATCCGTGTCGAATGGCAGAGATTTGACAACGAGAAAATCCACAGGGCGAACCAGCGAGTTCCCTCCCCGCGTATCCAAGGTCACTGAAGAAATAATCACATCAGAAGGTTGGACCAGACCCATTTCTGCCACACCCTTGTAAGGCAAGCCCAAGTATCGAGCTACCTCCAGTCCCTGTCTCTCTATATTGCGCCCTTAATAACACTCCCTACCTGCGCCTTCTCCTCCACTGTCGCCCCCAGCGACCCTGCCAGTCACTTCTGACGACACTTAGTCGCAATGTGACCAAACTTCTGACAGGTGTAGCACTTAATGCTCTTCATACGCTGCTTGTAGGCAGCGTCCGCATCCTCCTTGTCATCGCCTGATAACTCTACCCCTCTCTCATCATCAGAGGCCTGGGGTCGTGTACGCTTACTCGTCAGTTTGCCTGTGGCCTGTGTCACTTGTCGCGGCGTCTTCAACAGTTTCCGCAAATCCTCCCCTTGATTCCTTAACTTGGGTCGTAGGTCACTCGGCGCAGCCAACGTCCCGTTGTTCATGTTGTACCAATCACCCTGTGGCTCTGTCAGCACTGTGGGAGCAGCCTTAACCCCATGTGCACTAGGACCATCACGTTCCTCACGCTCCTCCTTAAGTGTAAGCAAGACCGGAGTCAAACCACCTATACTGTAGGAACGGCGAACACTCTTCCCCAAACGCTTGTGGTGAATAAATACGCGTTCTAAAAAGACATCTATAGTATCATTCACAACATCTAAATTATCCATAACCGCATCATAATACACCGATTCCACTTTGAGTAATCCTAAGAAAAAACTTGCATGAGGGCTCAATAAACACTCCATGCAATGATCAGCAATCACACCTTCTGTCGTGGACAGCTGTGCAGCTTGGCCCAGGTGTTCACGCTCCACCTTCTTGAAGTCTGTCAACGGAGCCCCTGTAGATACCGTGCCAGCCTTCGCCATCTGCTTCAGCAACGTGTCCATGTAAGTTCCTAGTCGAGCACTAAGTTGCTGATCCCTTCCTCCAGCATCCGCCGCCGGTGCCATCTTAAACAAGCCTGCCGCACCACCCGTAGTTCCTGCTTGAACACCCCATACTCCATACGTTTGAATGTTCTGAATCACACTCTCAATCAGCTCTGGATTCGTGACGTACTGATCCGCCAACAAGTCTGCAGTTTCCAACATAGAGCTCCGCGGTTGCACGAATAGCATAGCCAACATCTGATTATGCTTGGCCAAAATCACTGAGTCGATCATACCAATGTCAGTCCATCGATCCCCTAGTAGCGCCCGTACACTGGACTGAACTGCCGTGTTGAATCCATGGAACAGATAGTCGTTGCCTTGATGCGTCTGCTTCATTCCTGGCACTGTAATGCCAGATTAATGATGGATCCTTCGCTTCTTAAGGACCTGACCTGGGCCCTTCGCCCATTGGAGATAGTCATCTCATTTCTTCCCATCGAATGTCTCAATCGATTCCGTCATTTCGAATCGGTTTTTGTGTGTGTAATGTACTGTCTACCTTACTACCTATTATTATTGTGAGTACTTCTTAGCCGCATATCTTCAGACGTACATCACAGATTATTGTTAGCTATCATACAGGTTATAATAATAGTGTCGTAGCGTATGGCACCTACTGTGCCATACACTGCGTTTGTAAACAATATTGTGTTCATGTGAATTCTAATATAGTTTTATTAATAGAACTAGTCCAAATCTTATATTTGGTATTATACTGGGGCCTTTTAATGGACTTGTCCAAATATCTGATATGCAAAATGGAAAAGGTATGTAATTATTAATAACTGTTAAAATCCATTTAAAGAAACTAAGTTTGCGTACTTTGAGGAGTACGTTTATATTACAAGATTCTAATGTGGAGGCCCGGCTTTTACAATAACCGATATAGTCCAAACCATCAGAAAACCTTATGTAAAAATGTCGGTGGGTGATGAAGATAATCCATTAATATCCCAACTAACGGTTTTCTTACAGTCCGACCATTTCAACGACACGTATAGATACGGAATTTTGGTCCCAACAGTACTATTCTCAACGACTGCCTCTGTTATATTATCCGTTCGACTCCCTTTTGTTAGTGTTTTTATCTCCGTCTCAGTTAATTCCAAATCAACACCATTCGTTGCCCTATAATAATAATCAGCAACAATATAATCATTAATTGGAGCTGATCCGTTATTTATATTTCCCGGGTTTTCTGCAACTTCTTCACCGCTATCGAATGATGTATTCAATCTACTCCAATGCGTTCCATCGTCGGCATTAGCCCATTTAGCCGTGTCATAAGTGGCACCAACTACTTTTTCCTTTACCGTTGGAGTGTCGTTCCTCAACTATTCCAAGTAATTACTGGGTCCCACATTTTCACCATCTTTCGCCAAGACATACCAACCCTGCTCCTCACCCCGAGGACCTTCTGCGTCTAACCGGATCATCATCCCGCTTACTCTCATATTCTAATACATTAAAAGTAAATCTTTCGCATTTGTATCAATATGGTACCCACCGCGACACGTACTAGCAAAAGCTGTAAGAACATCACTACTTTCACCTGTTGAAATTGGATTAGATATAATAGTATAACCTTGAATTGTTAAATTAGTCGAAGCCATTCTTTCTTTTCTATTCCTTTTTTATTTCGTTTCTTTATTTAATTTATTATTGATATTTTTATTTATTTAATAAAGAAAGATAAAAACAATATCTGATACACTTGAAAAGCCAAAACGGGTCGTTTCCGGAAAAAACCAGAGCCGCTCTGGCAGAGGGAATAAACCGGCTTGCCGCAAAGAGAGCTTCTAAGAAAGACGGAAATGAAAATGAAAATGAAAATGAAACAGAGATTAAACCGGAGATTAAACCGGAGATTAAACCAGAGAATAAAGAAGAAAAGAAAGAAAAGAAAGAAAAGAAGAAAAAGGATAAAAAAAATAACAATTGTTATGGATAGCGGGAGTGATGACGACAGTGAAGATGACAGTAAAATTGTGGTAAAGAGTTCTCGAAGAAGGACGAGAAGACGGGAGGATTCTCGTGAAGATGAAAATGAAGAATTTGAAAAGAGACGGTATTATGAGTGGTTGAAAGAGCTGGGCTGGTATAAGACAGAACTTTTCGATATGAAGACATGTCGCGACAGCCTGAAACTACTTGGTTAAGAAGACATGTCCAAGACATGGCGTCATTAATGGGTGTCTTTTGAAAACTGGTCAAAAAAAACTTTGTCCGATAGAATAGCCGCATTTAAAATTGACCAATAAATAAGACATATTTTTAAACAAAAAGACATCAACATACCGCGAATTGCACCTAGAAAAATCAACTAAATGCACCTCTGATATTATTATATTTTAAAACATAATTCGTGAACAGGACAAAATAATATATATATAAAATATTTTTTAAAAAGGGCTTTAGTTTTTTTATAATCACTCCAGTGATCGACTGATCGACGGTTGTTATTTAATAAATAAATATCATTTTTATTTATGAAGATTTTTGACAGTTGACTTTGAGTTTGAGTCGTTTACCGAAAGAATTACGCGCCAGAGTGCATTTGTGAAACCGTTGAACATTATGTATGCATTGATTTCTATGAAGCAACTTGTGCTGTCAG